CAGACGAAGGCACTGAAACGATGCACAAGCAGGCTCAAACCCATGCTAACGGACAAGCACAAGGCGGAACGCTTGGGATTTGTCAAGAGCTTCCTTCGGCGAGGCCATGGCGACACGGTGCATTGGCATGATATGCTGGACACGGTACACATAGATGAGAAATGGTTTTACATTTCGAAGGTGAATCGTCGCTACTACCTTTGGAACGATGAGCCGGTGCCTATGCGGAAGTGTCAGTCCAAGCGACACCTCATGAAGGTCATGTTTCTGACGGCTGTGGCGCGTCCAAGGTTCGACGCACATCGAAGGAAGTCATGGGATGGAAAGATCGGCACGTGGCCGTTCACGATGGTTCGACCGGCGTTGCGGAACAGCAAAAACTTCAAGCGCGGGGATGCCATCACGGAGCCGGTCGTGGTCACCAAGGAAGTCTACCGCTCGTTCTTGGTTGACAAGGTGATACCAGCGATCAAGTCGCGTTGGCCTGGCCGTCGGTCCAAGACCATTTGGGTGCAACAAGACAGCGCACGACCTCATGTTGCTGTCGACGATGCTCCTGTTCTTGCTGCTGGACAATCCGATGGATGGGACATCCGTCTCTGTGCCCAGCCATCCCAAAGTCCTGACATGAATGTGTTGGACCTAGGACTTTTCAATGCGATCCAAAGTTTGCAACACCATACAGCGAGTTACACGATTGAAGAGCTCGTTCTGGCGGTCAGCAAGGCCTATGACGACTTGGACCCCTTGGTCTTGGACAAGACATTCATGACTTTGCAAAAAGTGATGGAGTGTGTGTTGAAGATGGATGGTGATAATGTGTACAAGATACCTCATGCAAACAAAGACAAGCTGCTCAAGAACGGTCCATTGTGCCAACGTGTTCAATGCGACGAGGAAACGTACGCTGCTATTGAGGCGATGGAAGAGCGAATCGACTTTGTACAAAGCGTGGACAATGTTATTCAACAGTTCCAGTCGACATGTGAAATTCACGATAGCATGATTTAGGCAATACGTATGCATGAGATCATTCTGTCCTTCGTCGTAAATTCCAAATATGAATAAAAATACACAAATCATATGGTATTTTGGGAGTTGGCAATACTTTGTTTCATATAAACTTGATGCCAAAAAAGTGGTAAACTTCTTTTTGGAACGGAGGAAGTAGATTCCAGATGTACTTCGACGTTCGAAGATATTAAAACTTCGGAACCACATGGATTGCTGGTTTGGCCACTTTGAACGGCAGTGACGTAGTAATTGGGAGTGCTTGTTGATATGACTATCAATCAGCACTCCCAATTTAGTGCTTCACTTAAGGTGCCTGTACGGTAAACTGTGTGAGAGTGTACGGCGCACTTTGTGATTACGAACATCGAGATAGTACGGAAAACGTTGAAACTCTATCCGGCGTGGAATTCATGAGTTGGCAGAACGCGGGTGAATTTGGTCTGTTGCTGGCTGGTGGGACGAGCAGCTCGATGGACGACGTGTCGTGGGACATTGAGGGCGACCTCCAATTCCTCTTTGCCACGGATGTCGAGCTCCAGACTGACCTTGCAACAGTGTGTGACCTGTTGGGTAAGGCCGAGACTGACTCGTCTGAATCGTCGACAACCGTCAAACGGAAAAGGAAACCCTCCATGGCCCCGACGGGCGCACGAAATCCACATCAGTCCCGGCAACGACAGGAGCTTGAAACTCTCCAGCGTCAGGTCGAGGAACTCAAGGCAAAACTCGAAGTGGTAAAGCTCCAAGCGGCATTCAAGCGAGAAATGACTCCCGCGGAAGCCTTGGCCCGACTCCGGCAAACAGACGCCACCATGGCACTCAAGGAAAACAAACGCCTACGAGAAGCATTAGATGCTCAGAATTCTTTCATTGGCAAGTTGAGGGCGTGCTTGAGGAAGAAACCGCGTCACGAGGTGTGCTCGGGTCTGCCTCGTCTATGCTTGTTGGTTTACGATGCTCGTCGTCGTAGCTCTTGACGCAAGACGACTGGCGCGTGTTCAAGTTGGCTGCGCAGAAATCCCTGCGCGAAGCTGCGGTGTTTGCAATCGCTGATCGCCAACTCCGACGAAAGGACTCGGCGTTCATCAACGCCGGGCTCCTCGACTGCACCGACCCCAAGTACCATTCACGTACGATCAAGACACGCAACGAGCATGCCGTCACGCTAGAAGTCGTCATGAACTTTGAGCTGGCGGCGCCTCGTGACGTGATCAGTGCTGCCGTCTGGGACGTATTCAGCTGTGACTCGCCACCAGGAATGTCCCCACACTCAACCGTGGTCAGTCCATCGATCGATCTCCAATCTGTGCTGCAACCGAGCCGTCTCATGTGTACGTGCGTGCAGATCCAAGAGCGATTTGACCAGTATACGCTGTACGAACAGTTCACCGAGGTCGCATCGGGAGTAACGACCCATTCGAATCTGGTTCGCAAGTTTTACTGCGACGACGGACTAGAACACGTTATCTTGTGGCGATCTGTGCTGGACGATGCTCTCGTCCCTGAGATGGCCGACGGCACTGTCGAGGACGAATGCGGATGGTGAGGACCCGTTATGCTCAACCTCGTGGACCTCTTCCGACGTCGTAGAAACTAGGATTGTCATAACTCCGGTCGACACCAAGTCGTGCCGGCTGACTCTCCTCCTCCATGCAGTCTTTGACCCGACGACACTTCCGCCTCAGGTCCTTAAACAAGTCGACAACCTCACGGTCGAAGCCATCACAGCGGCCATCGACAAACTGAACGTGGTCGAAGTACCCCGTATCAACGACGGCAAGTACCCATGTCCAACCAAGTCGCAGCCGAGCCCAGATGTACTTATGGGCTACGCACCGTTCATTCAACGAGGCAATGAATTCGAAGTCGCTCTGCATGTTGCTGTGAATGCCGCTATCCACAAGTTCCAGGCCGAGAGCGGCCTTCTTCCGGATTGCGCCGTCGAAGGAGTCGACAAGACATAGACGAAACCCCCATCGTGTCGTTCTTATTAGATTCAAGAATATATTCTTATTCAATCACTACTGACTGTAGCAGTAAAAATCATAATTGCAGATGATATTTACCTTCAATTTGGATTTATTTTCTTTCTAACTAGTAGCTTTTCAAGAATAGACTACAGCTTGATATGGTCGGGCGGACAATGGTTAAGTGGCGAGAAGGGTGACAGTTGACGGCCCAGTTGACTTTGGTTGGGGCCGCTCGGCTGAGAGTTTGCTGCTGCTGCTTGCTCATTCTTCTGCTCCCTTGACTGGTTTGGCCAGCATGGCAGCTGAAATCGCGAGAGTATGCAAAGATCCCGGCTTGCACTCAAGGCGTTCGACGTGTACGATGTCTGTGGCTCCGCCTTGTTATTCGTCGTGAACAGCGCGAGGTGGGTTCGTTCGCTGGGACATCTAGAGAGGCAAAAGGACTGCCAACGTGCAGCGCAAGGCTGTCTGGTGTCGCCTGTTGGAGATGCCGTGACGAACGCAGGTGGGGGGATATTGGTGAGAATTCGAGGAAGTTGAATGAAAAAACTGTAAAAAGCACCGAAATTTGGTGATGATTTTCAAGAAATGATGACTACAACAACCCCGCAAAATTCGCCCCACACGGTCATTCCGCAACCACGGCAGGATGAACACGGACACGTGGGACATTGCAACGGACCTGCCCTTCTTGATCGCGCGGGACGACCAGCTCAAAGATGACCTCGCCATCGTATGCGAGCTCCTCTCTCCAGGTGATGATGTGACGGATTCAACGTCCGATGCAGCGACCGAGGGAGGTGATTCCACGACCGCAGACGATTCAGACACGTCAGCACCCCCAACGCTGCTCGCCAAACCCACCACAAAGCGCAAGGTGTCGTGTGCTCCCCCAGGGGCTCGGAACCAGTACCAGTTCCGACAGAAGCAAGAGATCCAACTGCTGCAATCCCAAGTCGAAACGTTGCAGGCCCAGTTGGCGGAAGCACATGCAGCGGCCGCGGAGAAAATGGACTTGCCCAAGTGGGAACGGGCGGCCCGCGTTGAATTGCAAGCAAAGCTTCGTTCGCTGGGCGAAAACGAGAAGCTCAAGGCCGACATAGCGACCCAGTCGACGTTCCTCGGCGAAATGGAAAAGTACTTTCGAAAGAAACCTCGTTTGACGGTACGACGCACACGACTAGTCATCGTGAATTCTTCCATGCCGCCATGTTCAGATGGAGACGGACGTGCAGTCGGAGGAGTGGCAGTCGTACAAGTTGGCGGCGCAAGCATCCCTTCGCGTCGCTGCGATACACGCAATCGCGGATCGGCAATACCGGCGCATGGACACGGCGTTCATCAACGCCGGACTGATCGGGGTCACGACCAACCTCTTTCGGTACAAGCCGATCCGACAGCCCCACAACAAGGTCCTTGTCGAGTTGGTCAACCATGTGACACTGGCTGCGCCATTCCACACGGTCGGCTTGTGTGCATGGCACACATTTCATCTGCCCCACACGTCGGCCACGAGCTCGACGGTATGTTGACGAGATGGTGCATTGGAAGGAGCACGTGGCATGATACCTCGTTGTTCTAGTCGATTGAAGTGGTGGACCCCAACACGATCTACGAACAGTGCACAGAAACCAAGCACGGCGTCGAGTGCCACTCGAACACAATCTGCAAATTGTACACTGAGCCCAAGCGCGACGTGATTGTGTGGCGGACTGTGCTCGAAGACGACTTGGCGCCACACATGCTGAAAGGCGCAGTCGACGACCAATGGGGATGGTACGTCCATGGCGCGCATCTCTCCTGGCCATTCATTTCGTTCTCCATGGCATCATGTGGCTAAATTGTTCCAATGCAGGATCGTTCTCACTCCACTGGACAACCCCAACCAGTGCCGACTCACGCTACTTCTCCAAGTGTTGGCGGACGCGAGCGCCGAAGCGCCGCCGCAATTTCGGCTCGACGCATCTGTCGACAGCATCACGAGCGGCCTGGAGCTCGTATCATGCTCAGCCACACCAGGCTCTTTCCCGAGGGAGCGGCAAGAAGTCACGGAAGGTCTCCCGCCCGCATTGCTCACGTTTATGGAGCGTGGACGGCGTATGGAACACAGGCTACGCCGGGCAATTGACCGTGCGATCCGCGACTTCAACCACGCCACCACAGTACCAGCAGAGACACCGCCTCAAACTTAAGAGCAAAACCTTTCAACGGATCGCATCGTCCAAGTTGTCGCGGTGGCCTCGTTGGTTCCTTCGGTCGAAGCGACGACCAAACGAAGTAGAACCATGTCATGGTCGTCGTCGTCGTCGTCGTCGTCGTCGGGAGAATTCGATGGTTTGATTGGATGGATTCTACCAATCATGTAGTTGAACCGATGTGACACTCGGGCATGGCGAAGCGACCGGCGACCGGTGGCATGGATGCAGCCTTGTCCGCCAAGGCGAGCCCTCTGCCGAAGGAATGGGAAGCTCTGGCACGTCCCACCGACGAAGTAGACATGCCGGACGACGCAGACATGTGGGCGACTGTGTGTGACCTTCTCCAGACGTCCCCGGTTGAGCAATGGACTCGCCACGACGACGACAACCTCCAGGTCAGCGGTGGAAGCAGTGGCCACGAGGGCATGCCTAAACCGAAACGCATTCGAGTGTACACAAACAAGGCCGAGGTCCAGCAGCTCGAGGCCGAAATCAATGACTTGCAGGCGCAACTTGTCCAAGCCAAGCAAATTGCGGCGTCTGCATCGGCTGGCGAGGTGTCGATATGGGCACGGACTGCCGCCCGACTACGCATTGACAAGAACAAAACGTTGGACGAGAATCAACAGCTCCTAGCAGCCGTGCGCGAACGCGGCGAGCACATCCAGCGACTTCAGAAGCTGGTGTTCAAAACACCGAGGTGGACAGTACGACCTCATGGCACGACAGCCCGTGGAACTGATGTGTTTTGGCAACGCAGGTGCTTCCAGAAGTTACCAACGAGAGCGTGTTGTACGGTCGACTTCCCGCCGACCCCGTCCTCCGCGCCGCCACGATCCACCGCATCGCCGACCACCAGTATCACCGCTTCCACACCACATTTGTCCAAGCTGGCGTGTTCGATTTGACCGAAGACACGTGCCGCGGCGAGCCCATCACACTACCGGACGAACAGATTGGTTTCCAATCGATCAATCACATCAACCTCCCAGCTCCGTTCCGCAGCATCGCGAACGCGTGCTGGCAAGTGTTGTCAGGCAAAGTGACGGATGCCATCGCAGCCACCGACGACCAGGTCCGTCTGGCTTGACTTACACCACAGTTTACGGGCAATGCGGGTAGGTATGGGAGCACGTGGACGAACACACCGTGTACCACCGGTCGCGCCAACACAATGGCCGCATCGTGTGTCATTCGAACGAGATACGCAAACGCTTTGACGACCCCACGACGGGCCGCATCCTTTTTGTCTGGGTTTCCGTCGTCGACGACGCGCTGGTCGCCCAAGAGCCTTCGGACGCTGTGGACGAAGTGTGGGGCTGGTGCGGCTCTCTCATGGGAATCCGATGGCTCAAGTGTGTGGTATCGAAATAGGTGGTCGTTTGGACCGGATCCTGGCGATCCCACCAAGTGCCGCACCACCATTGTCGGCCACTCCAACATATCCAGAGTCCTCGAACACCAAGAAGTAAAGGCCTACTTGACCGACGTCATCGCAGCCCTCAAGCGCCTCATGGTCACGCGAGCGTCGACGAATCTGGACGACCCGCCATCCTTCTTGGTCCCGTTTTTGGAGCGCAGGCGGCGGATGCGACCGCTCATTCGAACCGTCATGGAGGAATCCATTCGTCGCCACAACCCGACCGCCCCTCTTCCTGTTGCAGAATAGCTACCTTGTACAACGCAGCGTTGTCTCCTGTCCATCGACTTGAATCGTTCGCAGTTCTTCTCTGGAGCTTTGGACGGCTGCAATGAGTCGCGCATCTTGTGACTCGTTTTGCATCTAGACTCGATGTGGTCCTGGTGGAAGCCTTCCTGCACTCATCGAGCCGCTGTCCCTTCACCAGATAGTAAAGTTGCGTTGTGGTGTCCATGCGTCTTCCGCTAAACTCCCACGTTTCGGCGTATTGTGCCAGACGAGGGGCAACGGTTGCGAATGTCGACTTTCGTCGGTGCGATTTCCATCGCACGCGATGAGCAGCACAAGTTGATCGAGGGCTATCAAGTCGAACCCAACGACAGGTTCTACCATGCCCACTTGTCATTTCCTCTAGCCATGCGCGGAGCAAGGGCAGTTTCGAGCACTGGTCGCCCCACCACGACATCTCACGTCTTGTCGGTGAAGTGGCGCCGAATCGGGTTGCCACCGTTTGCATCAGCTGTAGATTCAAGGTGCATGCATCGACAGTGTCTAGAGTCTGCCGCCACCCTGCCGTATCACGTGGCAGTTGCCTGCTTGCGCAGCGACGGAGCTCTTCCACGTTGGCCTTCAGACCGTCCCAGCACGCTGCACCTACCACTGAAAACCGAGTGAGTCGTGAGAATTGAACTGGAGAAATACCGTGCCGTTCGAAGAACTCGCATCGTGACGTTGGTGGGCCGCGGAGGAGATACACGCGTCCACAGTCGACGTTGTTGGACTTGGGGCTTGACCTTGTCGCTGGCGGACGTGAACCGTTGACGAACTACAGTCTCTTTCGACAGCACACTGCTTTTGCAGTCTGCTTTCCCGCGGTCGCATCCGAGTGCATTGGGCAACCAGCGGCGCGGCTGTCAGCCGTCGCGTTCGCTTCTGCCCTGGACGACTCGTCAAGCACGTCGCACAAGACGACAAATTCGTCCTGCATGTCGTCGTTTGTGGCAAGGACAACTGCACGGCGCGAACCATGTTGGACATGGTGACAGTGTACCCAGAAACAATGCGACGGAAGAAAACTCCGCCAGCGACGCCACGAGCACCCGTCCATGGCACGATTGGCGTCTGGAAAGCACCAGTGCGCGACGAAATGGTCGTGCCATGTTTTGGTATTGCTGATGTTGACGACGGGCACCGACCCTCGGTGGAGCTATCGACTACACGTCACCGCCGCGGATCACGCGAGTCGTGCGTATTCGACACAGCAGTGCGATGACTGATTGAAATGAATGATTCCTCCTGGCGATGTCACCTGCCCACGTGAAGCCCTTGAGAGCGTGGTTTCTTGCGGGGGTGCATCAACATGCCCGCTTGCGAAGATTTGTTCTCTGTCCAGAAGAGATAGGGCCCAACACGGTCCATTCAAGCACCTGCCTTGACCACGTCGTTGTTCCTCGCCATGAACGAACAAGCACAGCGCCACCACTCGCACGGTAAGGTCAGGGACCACAGGGTGTCATTATCACGTAGTAGAATGCACTTGGAACCGAGGACTCTGAGTGACGAGAATCGCGTTGTCGACTGCGGCGCAGAGCGCGAGCTCGAACCGCTTGCCCTTGCTCATGTAAACTTGCACAAACTTGTCAGGGTCGTCCACGGCGGCTGCAGGGGTGCCTGAAAACCGCCCAGGGTCGGCCGGACGTTGACAGAATCGAAACGCTTCGATGGTTTGGTTGGTTGCGTCGATGGCCATCGCGCCTGGCGGACAGGAACGTGGATTTCGGTCGCCAAAAACTTGATGCAGAAACGTCACGCGGCACGTCCTCGGGTCGCCTTGGATCGGCGCCACCACGAGCCTACAACCGCATGTGGTTCCATCCTGCAGTAGAGTCGGCGCAGTACCATCCCCACTCGTTGTCGATGGCCCCGAGCGACAAGTGCGGCGCCAGAGCGTCCTCCAGCACGTTTCGCCACACAATGACGTCTTGGTGGCCGTCGGGATAGTACTTGCGAATGACGTTCGAGTGCGCGGGAATCGAGTCCACGACCTGAGTAAACCGCCGGTACACGGTGTTGGGATCGACCATCTCGCACTCCTGGCCGAAGTCCCATCGACACAGACTCGCGCAAGGTATCATCGGCCTACCTCGGACGCACCGTCCGGCAGAGATGGGTCCTGTGCTTCCGCTAAAGCCTGCCAGCACGACGCAGCGACGGTTCGGTACGGCGCTGGTATACGCACGTGGCTGACAAACGTCATGACGAGCTGGTTGTCGTTGACAGGTTGCGCCCTTGCAAAGAACTTGTCGTTCAGTTCGTTGAACACACCCGCTTGAATTAGCGCACTCTGCATGCGGCTGAGCTGGCGGTCAGCGATCGCATGGATAGCTGCAATGCGGAGCGGTCGGTGGGCGACCAACTTGCACGATTTCCATGCCTCCGCCTCGGTCTATCACCACGTTGTGTGAACACCCACAAGGTGACATTCAACTCACAGCGATGGCCGCTATGCGCGGCTTCTTCACGATCACTTTCTGCATGCGGTCGATGAACGTAGCTTGTTCGCGGATGGCGTGCTGGAGCTGTGTGTTTTCGGCAATTGCACGCTTGCAGGCGAGGCGTTCCTGGTCGGCAGCCTGTTTCCACACGGAACGGCGCTGTAGCGCATTTGAAGCATGATGGTACGCCATGGTGGCGGCTAACGTCTTCTTTAACGCGTCGACTTGTTGACGAAGGAGTCGAATCTCTTGCCTCTGACGATACTGAAACCGGTTCCTCGCACCGGTGGCAGGATATTCAATGGCCACGTGGCCTGCGGCGGATGGAGCGAACGAAACGTGATGGATCGGGATGCATGTGAGAGCGATCTTTTTCGTAGGGAGCAATGCTGCAGTCGCATTCTCCATTGCGTCGCTTGTGCTCATGGAACGCGACCCGCCGGTCGTTTGGTCCGACGGCGAGTTCTCGCTGAGCAAGTCACACAGGAGGGACAAATCTTCGTTCAGTTGGTCTTCGGTCGCGAGGAGGAACTGCAAGTCGCCCAGGAACGCGCAGCCGTCGACTCCTTCCGATGCCATGCTTGCCTTGCCGCTCCGCACGAGTGTATATGCTCCATCTTTGAAATTTCAGATGTACTAAGCTTAATTGAAATAGTATACGAACTCACAAATATCTTTAGGTACCGAACAAACGAGAATATCAAATTCGTGCGGCGTCATTTTCATCGCAGTCCAAGAGTCCGAGGCTGCGGAGCTTGCACATCTGCGGACAGCCAAGCCACAGTTCGTGCAACACCGTGGCGCCACGGCACTGAAGCTGTTGACGGGGGTCGTCTGCTGCGAAGCGCCTCGCAACCTTGGGCAAGCAACGGCTCCTCGTAGCCTCGTGGCTCCCATACATATCAATTGCATCGCCGGGCAACACAAGGGCGACATCGATAACGCCCGACATGACTCGCGTAGGAATTGAATGAACAAGGGATGCGGCAACCTCAAGTGCAACAAATTTGTTCGTGGAAGTCCATGGGAAGGGTTGCATCGCTTGGCTCGATTCCATGGGCTGGTCCAGTCTGGACCGAAATGCCTAGGGAGAGAATCCCCTAGGGGCCCTCTTTGCCCCTTCCCTAGGGAGGGTGAGGTTGAGTGAACAGGGCCATATGGAGGGTGAATCATGATCACCCTGGCCATAAGGAGGGCAACTGCATCCAATCTTTTTAGCAGGGCAACAGCCACCAATGGTTCTAAAATGTACAGATACATCACTCAAACGATCATTCTGGCATTATACATCATGAGGCCACCAAGCTCAAATGTTGCAATTGCCGGTTACTTTTTCAAACCAATTGACGGGCAAAAGTTTGAATGTCGGCAGTGCCTCAAGGCAATCTCCCAGCAGCGATCTAAGGGAGTCTCAAACCTCATGAGCCACCTGACCTCCGTTCACCACAACTTTCAAGCAATTTTCGACGCCTCGCAAGCAATCCAACACCCTTCTCCCTTCGACGTCTACGTTTCCCACAAGGCAACGATCCTTTTCGGTTGGATGGACATGATCGTCGCGAAGCATCTTCCTCTCTCAATTGTTGAAGACGACACATTCCTCAAATATGTGTCGCTTGACAAAACTTCAACCACAACGCTTCGCAGCGCAATGAACAAGACGACCATTGCTGTGGAAAAGAAGATTGCTCTGCAACTACCGCCCAAGTTTGGCATCGTCATCGACGGGTGGTCATCGTCTGGGACGTCCTTCTGCTGTATCCTGGCATCCTTTTGCAACGACGAGGGCGTTCAAACACCTATGCTAGCATTCGCCCCCATGCTCAATGAAACCGACCTGTCGTCAAACCAGCACGTGGAGTTCGTACGAGCAACATTGGAACTGTATGGGCGCGAAATGAAATCAATCTCGTTCGTGGTCGGCGACAATTGCTCTATGAACCAAGCCATGGCAAGAAAAATGGGTGTCCCTCTTGTTGGTTGTGCGAGCCATCATCTGAACCTTGCAGTCCAAGACATTTTGAAACCGAGCGAAACAATTTTGAACTGCATTCAAACGCTCATGGTGAAATGCCGCTCCATCAAGAACCGTGCAGCCCTGCGCGAGCTGACGCATCTTGCTCCAAAGATGAAGAATGAAACGAGGTGGAGCTCAACGTTTTGCATGGTACAACGCTTCTTCAGAATCAAGGATCACATGGCCACACTCCAAGAGCTTCGCCCTCTGTTCCCATCACCTCGAGAGAATGACGAATTGGAAGCATTGCATCGAAATCTCGACGTCATCCAAGGCTTCACAGTCGCTCTTCAACGTGAAGATCTCACCTTGAATGAGGTTCGTCAGTTGTTTGTTGTCCTTATCGAACGTTTTCCCGAAATGGAATATTACCTTGGTGAAAGGGCAAACATCATCTCAAATCCCGACTTTGAGTCCGCCGTTGTGAAGGGTCTCAACGGCGACTCAGCCCTTCTCAACCCTGCCGAAAAGAAGACCCTGGAGCCGTTCGAAAGAGCAACGTTCGTTGAACCTCGACCCCGATTTCTTGCATCATCAGCAAATTCGACACTGGCTATGGACGTTCTGCGCGCCAAACGAGCTAAAGTTCGTGACTCAGTGGTGATGGACTATGACGATTTTCGGTGCATCCTACCCACCTCGAACATTGTCGAGCGACTCTTTTCCAAGGCGAAGCTTGTTTTTTCGACTCTGCGTCAGAGTATGACCCCTGAAACTCTTGAGATCTTGATGTTTCTTGGATGCAATCGAGCATATTGGGATGTGACAACCGTGAACGAAGCAATTTCTGAAGAATGAAGCAACTATATGTGCAACTTAAACATAACAAAAATGTTTGCATTTGATTCGTTTATCTTCAAAGTAGTTTTAGAATTTACAGTTAGTCAAGTTT